TTAGAGACTGTTTTCTTAGAGTTATTTCCTAGGCAGTACAGTGAACCTGCTTTATGTAACAATTACCTCATAGTGATTTAAAATATACAGGGTTTGTGTAGGTAATTTTAAAAACCTTTCATTTACTTCTCTAGAAGACACTCTAGGTGCCAGGTACATGTGGAGGTCAGCAGAACTTGTGGGAATTCTGCCAACTCCTAAGTATATTTATCCCAGTTTTACATTCTGGGACTGGGGAAACTCATAGGATAAGTTCAGGGACCCACTGGACCTACTGTGAGTCTGACTTCAGCCAAAACTCCATTCTCTACATCTCCTGACCTCTACAAGCTCCTAAGTTAGCTGGAGGGATCTCCCAGAATTAATGTCAGTTTGGAACCAGTGTTCAGTAGCCTCTTCAAAGTCTTATTCTCCCCCACCCACCAGCCTACAGTTACCCTAGTGAAAGGCTGTAGTTCCTTCTGAAGAAACACTAGAGCAAGGCTAACAGTAAAACTCTTAGGTAATTGGGTCAATGCCCTTCCTCAGGGGACCTGGCTTTCCTTCATTCAAGGGGTTCTAGTCTGAAAATTGGCTCATGAGCTGAGATTCCATCTCGCTACGATCCAGTGTGGCCTTTCTTTCACTGTTTGAGCTCTCTGCTTCTTTTTGATCCATCCCTAGAAACTTGGCCAGTATCAAAGGGCCATGAGAGTCATGCCACCATAAAATCTTTGCTACTCTGCCCTTGTAGGTCAGGCTGTGTGGTCATAGCCTGTGCTGCCATAACCATACCCACACTCACCACCAGTACTTTCCTTCCATCTGTGATACCTGGGGGTCTTCAGGGTTGGTCATAGGCCCTTTATCCACTGAGCCATGTCACCGGCCCATTACATACTAGCCTGTTCTATGAAGGGCTTAAGCACCCACTAATTTTGACTGAGCCCATCCCCTCTCCACACTTGAGGGACACTCAGTTTCTCCAACTGGATTGTCTAGACCACACCCTGCAAGTAGCTCTGGGAGAAGTGTCCTGGCCCCAGACTTGTCTCCTGGGGCCCACTCAAGTTTTTGCTGTAACTCCAATCCCAAGGGGTATAATACCCCCTTCTGGCCTCCCTGGGCTCTATATGCACCTGGTGCATAGACATGCATGCAAGCAAAACACCCCCCCACCTACCCCACCCTCGCCCAGGGTGGCACACATGTACCACAGTTGTGTGTAAGGTCAGAAGACCGTTTGTGGGGATTAATTTTTCTACCGTGTGGGGCCAGGAATGAGTTCATTAGGTCAGACTTGGTGGCAAACACCTTTACCTGCTGAGTCGTCTCATGGCTCCTCTGTGCGTGTGAATGTCACTCTGCCAGCTCTTGGGGTGAGAACTGTGACTTTGCCCCTCTATGGAGTATGCCGTGAGTATTATTTCCAGAATTTCAACCTGCTGCTCTTTTAAGACTGGTTTCTTGCAAACTGTTTCAGTGTGTTCCTGGGAAAAATTAAAGATGCATTTGAGCGAAACCCAGAACTTCAGAACCTGCTGCTAGATGACTTCTTTAAGTCAGCAGTTGACAACTGCCAGGTATGTAGCTGGCAGCGGGTGGTGCTGGGCTCTCTGGGTTTCAGTTAGCAGCACTGACGCCTGTGGGGTCTCCTGCAGACTAGAACCTCAGTGTCTCTGGGCAAACCCAGCCACTGACCTTCTGCTCTCTGTTCTCAGGACTCCTGGCGGCGGGTGGTCAGCACTGGGGTGCAAGCAGGCATTCCCATGCCCTGCTTCACTACTGCCCTCTCCTTCTATGATGGGTACAGACACGAGGTGCTACCAGCCAACCTCATCCAGGTGAGCTTGGGAGCATGTGGTCCCCTTGAACTTGGCTGGTTCCTGAGGGTTGTGTGTCTGCGAATCACCCTAACTAACCAACTGCCTTCCTTTCCTAGGCTCAGCGGGATTACTTTGGGGCTCATACCTATGAACTCTTAGCCAAACCAGGAGAGTTTATCCATACCAACTGGACAGGCCACGGTGGCAGCGTGTCATCCTCTTCATACAACGCCTAGTAGGACTGTGTCGTCACCCTCCCTCCCACCAACAGGACAGTCCCAGTGGTATGCAGCACTCCTCTTTGTCCTAGTTCCTGCTCAGATCTTTTAGCCAAGTGTCGGCTTTGATTGCCGAAGAAGTCGCTGAGGTCTTGTCCCATAGTTCTGAACCACCATGTGCCCCGCCTCAACCTTTTGCACTGCCCAGGAACTTATCTCGTGCAGCACTGCGTGACTGCTCCCTGACTGAGCTGTGCCATGTGGGTCAGACAGGCTGCAGCTCTTGGCACACAGAGGGCATGTGTGTGTGGGATTGTACAACCTGAACCGTGGATCATGCGTGTGGGTTCTGTTGTCCTCCACTCAGTAAAAGCTTACATACTTCCTCTTCTACGATGGTTTCTGGGCGTGCCTGGACATTCCAACTGCCTTTCCATTGGCAGAAAGGTCTGCATTGAGTTCACAGTATGGCGATTGATTTGCTTTCCCTTAGCCTTATTCATTTTGACTCTGGCTTGTTTTTTTCCTTTTAAAGACTCCAAATAACTCATGGCACATTAAATTGAGGGTAATGATTTCGTCTGGAGGGAGGTGAGGAGGCACCAAGGAGTAGGTGGACGGGGACTCTCGTGTCTTTTCTTACTGGGCACAGTAGGTACCTGGATGTTCATGTCACATCCACCCAATCACACACTTAAAATAAACTTTTTAGACTGACTTGGTCCTCTGTGTGTTCTCTCCCGTACCAAATATGTCTTTGTCCTGCCCTGGTCTGCTGTGGGATTTTTTAGTGCTCTTGGTCTGTTCCTGAGCCAGGCTTTTTTATATATATATATATATAATTTAAATTAAAACAATCTTATTTTACATATCAATTCCAGTTCCCTCTCCCTCCCATCCCCCCCCCACTCCCCAGGGAGAGTGAGGCTTTCCATGGGGGGATCACCAAAGTCTGTCACATCATTTGGTGCAGGGCCTAGGTCCTCCCCGTGTATTGAGGCTGAGAGAGTATCCTTCCATGGGGAAATGGGCCTGAACCAGGGTTTTCATTTGCCTTGTTTACTGATAGAGATGCCTGGCCTGGGGCCATCAGACTGAGTTAGGCCAGCAGTGAACTCTGCTCCATGCTGATTTTTCTGTTCCAACTTAGAGTCAGTCCCTAGAGGGGCTCCAGAGCAGAGCAGACAGGGCCTGTTTGGACAGCTGGCACGTCTCACCAGTCTCTGGAGCTGCAGGAGAAGCAGAGCTAATGGGGAAAAGCAGCTTTTCATCAAATCCTCCTGCCTCAAGCCTCCTGGAGTACAGGGTGCATTTTTACATGAACTCTTCTTGGAGGCCCACCTGCCCCTCCAGCCCCCACATACAGACTGAGGACTGAAAGGCACACCTTAGAGAGGCAGATGAATGCTTGGAGAATAGGGTGGATTCTGAGGAGAAACCATACAGACGCTGGAGGATGAACACAAAGGCCCGAGAGGCAGGAAGCTCAACTCCAGTCCTTCCTGGTTCACCCCCAACCCGCAAAGCTGTGGAAGGTAGGATGGGGTCTAACCCAGCCCCATTCCTGCTAGCTGTGTAACTGGGGGTGTCATTTCTTGCCCATGGCCTGTTTTCTCGGGGTAGAAGAATCTCCAGTGAGAACAAGCACCTGCCTTGTATTGATGGGGAGTTCACTTTGTTCGGATGTTCAGAAGGCCTCTGGCCAGTGTCCTGCCTGAAGCACACAGTAGGTGTACTAATTAAGAACAGATTTGCACTTCTCATGCTATATCACCGGCATGATGTCCCCCTGGAGAGAATCAGAAAGTACTGGTTGGGGTGGAGCTCTCATTCTGCATTTCCAACAAGCTCTCAGTTGGTGTCCTTGCTCCCTTGCATGCTTGTGAACACAAACCCACACAAAAGGAACCCAAGAAGCAAAACTGCCATGGGACTAATGTACAGTGTCATCCAGGCCATGAACTGAAGAGTCAGAGCTGTCCTGCAGCGTCTCCCTCGTGTACCCAGGCACCTGACAGTTCGTTGGCGTGCCTGTGGTGGCCCTCTGTTTTGACAGGAGCTCTCTCACTGTGATCCAAGGCTCACCCAATTCAGCTTGGCTGGCTGGCCAGTGAACCCCGGGATTCATCTGCCTGTGCCTCTGCCTCCCTCCCCAGCCTGAGATTTCAAGCACATGCCTGGTGCCTGATGATCTTTGCTTTTTACGTGGGTTCTAACCCGCCCCATTGCTTACTAGCTGTGGTCACAGCACTCGATTAGTGTGAGTGAAGCCCTGTGCTCAAGCCAAGCCCAGGGCCACTGGAAGCAGCACAGGATGGCTCAGCAGGGAAGCGCCAAGCCTGGCCACCTGAGTTCAGTCTCTGGGCCCAACTCCTGGAAGTTGACCTCTGACCTCCACATTCATGCATAGTGTGCATGGTGGCCTGGGTGTAATGATGCCTCTAACTCTGGCACTAGGGAGCTAGGGAGCTGGAGGATGGAGACTTTAAGGCCAGCCTATGTGTACCAAGACCCCGTCTCAGACCCCTCACCTTCTTCCAGGGAAGCAGAGTACTTGCCCACCATGCGCAAGGCCAGGGGACACCTACAATACAAGCCAGAGAGGGAAGCGAGGAGAAGAGGGAAGAGAAGAGGTTTTTTTTTTTTTTTTTTTTTTTTTTTTTTGCAGTCTTTATATATAGCTCAGACTAGCTTAGAACCCTTGACCCTTCTGCCTCAGCTGCTCAAGTGCTGAGATAACAAGCAGGCACTAACAGGCTGAGCTGGAAGCTCTTCTGTTGTTTGTGTGACAGTCTCCTTCCTGTGTTCCAGGCTGGCCTCAAATTCACTCTGTAGCTGAGGATGGCTTTGAATTTTTTTAAACAGAAAAACTTTTTAAGATTTCATTTATTTATTATGTATACAACATTCTGCTTCCATGTATATGTGCACACCAGAAGAGGGCACCAGATCTCATAAAGGATGGTTGTGAGCCACCATGTGGTTGCTAGGAATGGACCTCGGGACCTCTGGAAGAGCAGCCAGTGATCTTAACCTCTGAGCCATCTCTGCAGCCCCAGCTTTGGATGTTTTATCTTCCTGCCTTTACTTCTGAGTGTTGGGGTCACAGCCATGCGGCCCATGCTGGATTTACACAAGTGCTTTGACTGTTAGGAGTCTGCATTAACCACTGCCCACGCGGAAGCAGCTTCTCTGGCCAAGGCTGAGAGCAGCACAACCTATGGGGACACACATAAACCCTTAGAAGACAGTTGCCAACAGGTTTATTCAGTGAAACAACAGAGGTAGGTTTTCCCCAGAGCCTGAGACCTCCGGGGCTTTTCTTTTTTAAAATCACATTTACGGTAAGTACCTCCTATGGCATCGATAGACCCTTCCTATGGCTTTTTTTTTTTTTTTTTTAAAACAGTGTTTTACTATGTAGCTTCTCGTTTGTCTGGAACTCTCTATATAAACCAGGCAGGCTTTGAACTTGGAGAAATCTCCCAAATGCTGAGATTAAAAGGTATGTGTGAAGCTGACAGGATCCAACACCCTATTCTAACCTTGAAGGGCACCAGGTACACAGACAGAACACATACATACATGTAGGCAAAACACCCATACACAAAAGAAAATAAATCTAAAAACAAAAAAGAATTGAGAGTTTAAGATCACCCTGAGCTACATAGCCATTTTGAGGTGCATGCTATAATCCTGTCTCAAAAAAACAAGTCCAGAACTGCCTATCATGAGCACATGTCCTGCAGTCTTCAGAAAATACCACCTGCCACACACACCTCTCCTAGAGAGGAAATTTTGCTATGCGGCAGAGATGGGAAATCTGTACCTTGCTTGGGCCTTCCTGAGGGTCTATAAAGGGCCCATACCTAAGACAGTGTGTGTCAAGCCTAAATGCTTCTTCACAAGTTAACTGATGTCCTCCTTCTCTACTGGACTCAGTGGGTACCATCCCAAACTGCCCAGTGAATCCCAAGAGGTTAAGTTGTCTAACCAATGGAGCAACCCTAGCCCTCTGGCACCAAGGTCCAGCCAGTGAGACAGCCTTACCTCTCCTCATGCACAGACCAGATCTCATTCCCTCAGCCTCTGTCACATTAACTGCACACCTACTGTGTGCCGGGTGCCGTTTCCACAGTGGTGAGAGATGCAGCCGGAATCCCGAGGTGTTTGTTAGTCATTACTGGAGACTGCCTTCCAAATCGTACTTTACAGTTCAGTTTAAGGAAAACCAACAAGAGATGCTACTGAACTGAGTTATTTGTGGTGTCCTGTTTAATGCATGTATGACTTGTGCTAAGGACGATGGGAAGTAAGCAGAGGGCACCAGTGCGAACACAAGGGCTCCACCGTTCAGGATGGACTCTGGCCTCTACCACTTCCAAGCAGTTTAATCCCATGGAGAACTCTTTTGTGCTTGTAACTATTTCTACTTGTGAATCGGTGCTTGCACCGGGTGGATGAGAGAAAGTGAGCACCTAGGGGCTGGGGCCGGACAAGGCTGCACACAGTGCTAACGAAGGTATTACAGCGCTGACCTTGATCACAGTGAGGCAATGGTGACATCTAGTGGCTGATGCAGGCTCCTGCGCCATTGGTTGGAAGTTGTTGCCATCCTGCCATATGCTGCCTCAGACCTAGACTGTTCTTAGACTCTCAAACTCCACAGGCCACCACAGTGGTGTTCATTAGCCCTGGGAACTGGCCGCTTCAGCACAAGATAGCATGTGGGAAGCAAAGAGTGGGGACTGACTGAGAGTCACTGTTTCGATAGTTTTCTTTTCTTTCTTTGTTTTCAAGCTGTCCTGGAACTGGCTCTGTAGTCCAGGCTGGCCTGCCTCTGCCTCCGAGTGCTGAGATTAAAGGTGTGAGCCACGGCTCCCAGCTCTTTCTGAGACAATTTTGCTCGGTAGCCCATATTGGCCTTGAGCTCGCTGTCCTGCCTCAGCCTAAGGTGTTCACCACCCTCCTGGCTAACGTAGGTGGTTTTCACACAGGGAGGAACTGCTGGGGAGATTAGGCTGATTAAGCCCTTCAGAGGCTTAAAGAAAAGGAATAATCAAAACTCAAGGTCTTATTGCTGTGAAGAATGGATCTTCCCCTTCTCTCCTCCCTCAGGCTTAACCCAGTGGACAGACACCCCGGAAAGCAAGTTAAGAGTGTGTGCTTTTCCTTTCCAGGATTCCTGTCCTATAGTGCCGTCCCTACAGCTGCCGTGGGGTTCTGTGGTCAGTCCCTCAAGTCCTCACTCAGAACAGTTCCCTCTTCTGCCTTTCTCTTTCTGGTGCTGGCCAGGGCCTCACTGGTGCCTCAGGCTTCTCTGTTCTTTTTCCATTACTCCCCCTGTAGTTGATGAACCAGCCTGCCTCCATCTTAGGTTTGAAAGCTGTCTTATACTAAAGACAAAGTAGGTTCATTTCTGTTTATGATTAAACCTGTTATTCCAGGACTGGGCTAGGCCCCACCTGTGACTTGTCTGGGAATGGCAACCATATCTTTGCCTCAAAAAGTTGTTATAGCCATCTTGCAACCCCACCTTTGTTTCAAAAGATTGTTTTGACTGCCATGTTAGGATCATCTTGCAACTGTTTTTGTTTCAGGAGGTCGTTATGACTAGCTTGTCAGGCTTATGTTCTGCTCCTGGATTGCCGCTTATTTTGTCTGCCAACTCCTCCATTTGAAAACATAGCCCTGAGCTATGAAAACCTCATCTTCCTCACACCCAGTGCTGATCCCTTGAAGCCCACTGGTTGGTTTATTTTTATTTTATGTGTATGTGCGTTTTTGCCTGCATGCATGTCTGTACACCGTGTGTGTGCCTGGTGCCCTTGGAAGTCAGAAGAGGGTGTTGAATCCCCTAAAACAATAATCACAGATGTGAACCACCAAGTGGGTGCTGCAAGCCAAACCCAGGGTCTCTGAAAGCGCAGCAGGTATTATTGATTGCTGAGCCATCTCAACAGAAGGGAGACTCACTCTCTTGTCCCTGGCAATGTGAACCATTGTCTCTGAATGGGTGGTAGTCGGCAAACAGTCTCAGTCTGGTTTGGGTCACTGCAGTTGGTGGGAGAACTACAAAACCCCGTGGCTCTTTGCAAAGCACCCGAGGTTGCGTGTGTGCAGAGTTCACCACAGAAAGCACTGCACTTAATAGCTTGTTAGTTAGTTCTTGTGTGTATGGTGTGTGTGAGGGTGAGCACACAGTGGAGGCCAGAGGACAATCCTTTTGGAATCAGTTCTCCTTTTCTGTGGGCTCTGGGGATCAAACTTGAAGCCCCAGGCTTCCAGGGGCAAGTGCTTCTACCCACTGAGCCATCTTGCTGGCCAATTTTTTATCATTTGTTATTTGTGCTGTTGTCAGATGTTTTTGCTCTTTTGGGGGCCCACCACCCAGCTCCCAAATAAATCACACACACGGAGGCTTTTTCTTTCTTACAAATGCCCGGCCTTAGCTTGATTGTTTCTAGCCAGCTTGTCTTAAATTAACCCGAGTACCTTTTGCCTCTGGGATTTTTCCTTTTCTTATTTCTGTATATCTTACCCTCACTCTTACTCCAGGTCTGGCTGTGTAGCTGTGTAGCTGGGTGGCTGGCCTCTGCAGTCCTCCTTCCTTTCTCCCAGATTTCTCCTTCTGTATATTCTCTCTGCCTGCCAGCCCCGCCTTCTCCTGCCTCGCGCCATTGGCAGTTCAGCTCTTTATTAGCTGAAGCAGGTGTTTTAGACAGGCAAAGAATCAGAGCTTCACAAAGTTAAACAAATGCAACAAACAAAAGCAACACATCTTTACAGCATTAAATGTTCCACAGCATAAACAAAAGTAACACACCTTAAAATAATATTCTACCACATTGAGGGCTATACATGCTTGGGTGTTTTTGTTGTTGTTGTTGTTGTTTTTTTTTGTTTTTTTTTTTAGTTTGAGACAGGGCCTCACTATGCAGCCATGGCTGGTCTTGAACTCACAGAGATCCTCCTGCCTTTGACTTCCAAGTGCTGGGATTAAAGATGTGCACCACCATACCCAGAACATACGTAGTCTTTCTAATTGGGGGTGGGGGTTGAGTCAGGGTTTCTGTGTGTAGCCCTAGCTGTCGTAGAACTCGCTCTGGAGACCAGGCTGGTCTCCAACTCCTC